CTACACCCAGTGTGACTTATATTATGATCTCACCAAAACACTGACTCACAGGGATGTTATTGACAAAACTCCTGACCTGCCTGGAGGGATTGAGAGCTTGATTGTTCTTTGGTGTAAACAATATTATGTTTTAGGCTTGAACGTGAAAAAAAGCTTTCCTTTATGGAGTCAAATATTCCTGAGAGACAATCAGTTGACCTAAAATGAATCAAGCTGTAAGACATACACTTCATAACATTGTTTTCTCTCCAAGAACGACTGGGTACTTACGTTTTTCTTCCACTGTTGGCTTGCACTGACCTGCAAGACACATCATCAGCATGTCATTAGATTACTATGGCAGACACTAGATGGCAGACTGGTCATACCTCAATGTGAATTACAAAATACTCTTACTTCTTGATTTATCTCTGGTTATGCTTTAACAGTTCCCTAACATGCTTTCCTGCCTACAAAAGTATCATAAGATCATTAGAAGTCCCACATATATATGATTATAAATCTTATTCATTATAGGCCTCAAAAGCATGCTTTTATATGGAATATGTATGCCACTATAGGCCAACATCTAACTAATGATGACTTTAGAAATGACTTACAAGCTTTTTTCCATGTTTTTTCTGCATGAAATTAAGCTTCTGAACCTATACAACTATAATCTGCACATGAAAATGAGACCAACTCGTGCAAAAGGTTCCAATGTCAACTAAGATAATAAAGTATGCAACACATAAAAAGCTTTTAAACATTACCTCGAAATCCTGGGTCACACCGTGGAGGAGCACACGACACAAGGACCAACAACTGCAGCAGGATCAGCAGCATGATGCTCATTTCCCGACGTTTATATTCCTTTTCGATGTGGCACCTCACACACGCAGCCAGAAGTCTGCAGAAATTCTCCCTGAACTTCCCTCACTTTATTACACGTATTACGGTCGACTATCATGTTACAGAGGAAGTGGCTCTGAGGTGAAGTGGGGACATGTGCAGGAGAATGAGAGCGTAGGCTTTGCAAATATGGCGAAGATTTACGGAGATGTAGGTTAAATGAAAAAATTGCATATTCATTTAAGCACGTTTGAGTTTAGTTTTTGACGTTTTGGTCCAGGAGAGTTTTTTACTTTGCTTTCAAGATGAATAAAAGTGAAAAATATCCCCTGTTCCTCACCTGAACTGTCATCCTTCAGGCCTGTCTTCTTTGCCTTGTTTATGCACACCTGGTGGTCCTTAATTGGCCGTAAAAAACAAAAACAAAACAAGGGCTGTCTGTAAAACTGCCTGTGGTCATTACATAAAAATAACATGGGTTATTGTCAAAAATATAAGCAATGTATTGGGTCAATGTTTACTCTCTTATCATATTTTTAAAAACGTTATATGTCTATATTATTAAAATCAACTCTTGTCTAATTTTAAGTAGGCTAATACAAATGCTTTTAGCTAGCTGCTAAGCTAGTTTTCAACTATCTTACAAATTGTCTGCCTTCTGTGAAATAATGGCCTGCTAATTACTTACTTCAACATGTTTGGTGTAGGCTATGCCTTTTCATCCAAGCAGGGTATTATTAGATAATGCGTTAATTTAAACCTTAAATAGTTTAAAATGTAGGCTACTGTATAAAACATCAATTTTCTCTATAAAATAACCTTAACATTTTGGTTCCATACAAAATAATGTGTGCTGCATCTGCAAATTGTGGCCTGCCTTGATTTTGCTGACAAATCAGCTACCCTAACATGTTTGTCAGAGTTGAACCAATCATTTACATCCTGCACAACAGACAGAAATAGAAGTCTGTAACCATTTTCATGTATATAAACATTGTTTCTGTCTGGGACAAAAATGTGTATCCCACAGAGAGAGAGCAGACTTCTTTGGGATTATAAGGGACATAAACCTGGTGAAAAACTGGAGCTAAACTGTCTTTATTTTCTTAAAGATAGGCTGCATCCTGGTGCAGAGATTTAGGCTAACCCATATGACCCCAGTTATAACATTTACCATTGGTTTCAGAAAAGTCATTTTTGATATTAAATCTGAAATGTATAAAGCTCTAAACTTCATCTCAGAAATATCAACATTAAAGCACTTAGAAGGCCAACTGGTAATCAAGCAATGTTCTTTAAGCCTTAATATACTCCTAAATGGGAAATGATTTAATACCATGATAGCCTATAGTTATGAGGCTGAGCCAAACCCTTGATTGTCTCAAAAGAATGCTTAATTTGCCTCAGCAGAGGTGATTGCCACCTGACCTGATCTATATTCTTCATTGTCAAGTGAGCAGCTCTACCTAATTTAAAGTGCCAGTAGACTATCATACACATACATATTTGTCATACATTGGGTTTCATTACTAATTTTAACTAATTATAGGGTCTTCTCTCCTTCAAGCTGGGCTGATTTGAATTAGCATAATAGGAAGCATGATTATTCATCATGCAGGCAGGCGGGCGCAGGACCCCTGGGTTCAATACTGGTATCTTGGGAGTGAGCCTAAGAGTGAAATAGAAATATCCTCTGTATCCTAAATCAGGAATAAGAATGAGATCCATAATGTGGTCATTTATTATGCAGATAATATCACAACCTAGCCATATTAAATGTTCACTATATCTTTACAACTTACTTTCTTTTTCAAACTGATTTACAATGTTATTGTTTTGTCAAGACATCCTCAACCACCGATGTAATGTGTCAGATAAGTAATCAGTGATGTACTGCCTTTTCTCAAAATGGAGCACAGAATTATTGTCCTTGATTATACATTTATAAGGAAAACTCAGAAGATATACACTTTCAAGAGTGGGTTGACACTCTTTTAACTCACTCAGTTAAGACAATTTTGTTTTAAACTATGACATTGACTAAGCTTACATTTCATTATGAGCACTTTTCATCACCAATTTCTCTCATAACTTATTTCTGATGATTGGGGTGAATTGGATGATGTTTTATTTGAAAAAGCCCGACCCATGCCTTCATGACGGCATTGATCTGCCCGCCTAAATGCAGAGGTGTTACTGGTTTAGTTAGCAACAAAATAATGCAAATTCCCTCACTTCATGTTGCAAGTAATTACTGTCGGTCTTTTTCCACGCATCAAATTAATTCTCAGTCTGAATAAATTAGAATCGCTAATTGGCAAATGTTATCTTTGATCCATCTATTTAATTACACTCGGCAATAATGCTGCTGCAACCGAGACATGTACACCATATATCATCTTTGATATCATAAGTGCCACGAGGCAGATGAAAACAAAACAAGGTGATTCAGAAACAGAGGACTAGCTGGTGGTGACAAGCAACCAACAGAGTTTTATTTGAGAATAACAAATGATGTTTCTATTCAAGTATCCATCAGTTTCAAATATTGAATATAGTTCTCCATTATCCTCAATTATGATTCAAATAAAACATTTAGTATCTGTCATTTAGTGTCAGATAATTTTAACTGCACTGCTTGAATTGAATTTGGAAACTTACAAATTCAATCAAAAGGCATTATCTTGATTCAAAGACATTACTGTGAAAACATTAATAATTGTAATACTTTTATAATTGACAGCTTGTATTGCACATATTCCACTAATAGCTAATCACACTGCCAAATAACAGCAAGTGGCTTACAGGAGGAACAATACATGTGCAGAAAGTACATCCAAAGAATTTTAATAACAAACCAGATTTTCTGGTGAGAGAATAGAACCTCTGAAAAAGTCACATGTTCAATTCTGGCACAAACACATAACAAGTGTGTTTTAAGCACTTCTAGCATCCCTATGCTACATCACCCTTTTATCTAGACAAAATGTTGTCCTGTACAGTGCAAAATATATAATAACATCAGGTAAATATCCATAGAAACATTTTAAACTGGCAAAACAAAGAACAGTTGTACAAATGCATTTCAGTCAAAAGTGGGTCGCGACTAGTACATTCAGTTTCAAACGCACAAAGGATACATTTAAAAGGATAAGTCGGTGATATTTTATGCTTTTTTCATGATCAGGAAATCTCATGAAAATACTTAAATAGATAATTAATTGATGTAGCCAGTGATCTCCAACTTCAAATAAACGTACATTATCCTTGCCTCCGGGACTTGTGAGTACTCCGGTTTAATTCACAAGGGAGTTGGATTTAATTAACTAAAACACGTCAACACCAAGATGTTCGCAGACTTAGTGCCGTAGGAACTTGGATCTTGGTAAAACGGCAATTACATTTTTACACGGAGTGTTCTTTGTTTGTCAATTATCTAAAAACTCTTACGCTTTTGATCTGATTGACTTCTTCAATACCATGAACCAAGGCACTGTAGTTAATTTTCTTTCTAACAAATATACACACAGGTGTGTATTGACCTGTGTCAGAAAATAGTCCCCAAAAAACGTTTTAGTATTATTTGCTTAAAAACGACAGCGCCCAGGTTTCAGGAACAAATGTATAACCGTTTTTAAAGTTACAATTTATATCTGTGACCAGTCCTGTTTTGCATTTCATACCTACTCGAATAAAGGAAAAAATACTACAGGAAAAAAGGGTCCGAAAAATACTGAGTAATGGAGTGATACATTGTTAATTTTGCTCTTATCACGGACCTCGTTAACAACAAGAAAAATATATAAAATATCACCAATCTTACCATTTAAAATCATGTTGTAAATGTTATTTGCCTTTGGCTCCTGTAACTATAGTAGCTCTGAGAGAATTAGACAAAGTGCATCAATATTCAGTGACTGACATGACACTGCGAAGTAGTCTAACATGGTCAATACAGAACATGGCAATAATGTGCAGCAGTTGAGTAAATTATCCAGAAGCTGTAGCAAAAAAGTATTTCCTTCTTTTCGCTCCAGCTTCTATCGACTATCCGCTCCCAGCTCTGTCCCTGCGTTTGGTGACAGAAGAAAGGTCTCTACATGTGGATTTTGCCAAAATCATTACAAAGTGGTAGGTTCAGTACAAAAGGCCACTTTATACATGTTGCTCAAAGAGAAGAAGGGACCGTGTCGGCTGCTTTGTCCTTCAGTTTGAGATTCATCTGAACCCACGACTCCTCTGAAGAAATTGATTTGTATGATCTATGTGTGCATCTTTGTGTGGTTTTGTGTGTTTCCGCCGATGAATCACAGATGTCTTGTTTGCCAATTCTGTCTAAGGACAACATTTCGTCCTCGTCGCTCCCTATCCATCTCCTCTTTCGCCCCTTCATCCTCCCTCTCAGTGCTGTCTTGTCATTCTCCTCCACCCACTGCCTTCCTTACTTATGCTCTCTCTTCACCCCAACCCACATTATGTCCCCTCTATCAGCTCGATTTTTCCTCCCTTACAATATCCTGTGTCTCTTCTCATTCTTCTCCTCCGCCCACCTTCTTCCATGAGGCAACGTATATTTTTGGCCCGTCATGTGTATCTGCCATTTCCCGCCACGCATTTGCCATTAGCTGATTCTCTGGAGGCAATAGTCGTTCTCCGTGTCTAAAGAGCTGTTGTGGCCAGACGAGGGGTACAGGTCACGACGGAGCAGCCTGTTGACGACAGTAACCAGGACTTTCTTGTACTGCTGACGTAGGAGGGAGTAGGCAAAGGGGTCCGACGCAGCCTTGCTGTATGTCAGGCACTTACTGATGATTCCCCAGCGGCGGTTGATGTCCACGAAGGGGAGAAGCTCGACCAACCTGAAGGGGAGGCAGCAGAAACATGAATAATCAAAGTACATTTTAGTCAGAGATGTGTTTTTTTCGTTAGTTTCTCAAATGTTCAAAGTACCTATAAAGCCTTTTACACATTGGGGACTGTTTGAAAGGGTCAACATGGGGTAAACTCAATGCGCTTAAATAGCATTAGAAGCTCTTAAAAACGATTTCATCCGTTCTTTGACCTGCACAAAATGGTCTTCTGTGCCATCTACAGTCACTGTCTGGTTCAGAAATTATTTAGTGAGCAGGAATCACTATTCTATGTTTACAATTTATTTGGGAAATGTTATGAATTTAAGTGAATATTGCAAATATAGCATAGTGTTGCTACTGTATAAATGGATTTTAAACTATTTCAAGTTCTTAAAATAGTTGCATTTTAAGCACCTTGCATTTTATGATTACAGACATTGTACAGAAGATTCAAACTGCCATTAGAAGAACTAATGGAACAGAGAAATAAAGTGAAATATGATGCGATTGTAATATGTTTTTCTTCCTTATCTATACATTTAGTATGGCATCTTGAGCTTTGGTCTCTAATGGAAATCCTTTGTTTTTCATTGTGATGCAAATGTTCCACTTCACCGTGAAATCTAATCACAGCACAGAACAAGTGAAGAGGTGTATTGTACAGCAGAGAACAGCTTAGACCTGCCAATATGAAATGCAAAGCACTAGGATTCATTTAAAAAAATAAATGTGTATGGGAGCTTCTTTCTTTTATGAGATGGCATTTTATAGAGCATTACAAAAAAGAAACAATATACATGACAAGGTTTATTGTATTTACTATCTTTGCTTGATTTGTTTCATAAAGGCATTGCTGGTGGTATTTTGTCAGTACCAATTCAACAGAGTTTTATACTATATACATAAATACTGGAGGCTTTGGCTTTTACACATTTGAACCATAGGGTTTACATACCAATCATTCACACACGTATCTGCACATTTTAAGGCAATGTCAAGAAATACAAATGTCATGTCAATTTAAGATTACAACAGAAGGTGAAGAAAATTCCCCTTTTTTCTTCAGTATAATGTTAATTTAAAGGCAGAACAGATACATGAGTAGCGATGATTAGAAGTTTTGTTTTTAACAGCAGGCTACTTCCAGTGGGTAGTGTCAGGGGGTTACTCCAATTTCTCAGACACTTTATCCCTGTTAATGTGTCCTCCCACTTCCCACTCATATGTGCATGCGCCACATATGTCAAAGTGATGGATCATCGCACCACATCTCGCTGACAATCTGCTCCTCAAGCTTTTCCTATTTTTTCTGGAACACACAACTTGTTCTCTGTACTATATTTATTGCCCTAAACTGTAGTATGTGTGTTTCAGTGGAAGCAGCATGGCAAGGCACCTCTTAAAGGTGATTTATGAGCCCTTTTATGGTTCAGATAAACTGTTTTTTTTTGTACTTTAAGAGTGGGATTGGGTCTAATCTGAACAAATAAGGTGACAATTCTGTATATTCTAGATGACAAGAACTCTGGATGTAGTATAATTTGTCTTTTAATAGTTGCACTTAAGTCTATTATTATATGTTACTGACAATTCAACTTACCTTGTGATAACATAGGGGGCAAAGCAGATGATGAAAGAGCCGATGAAGATGCTGATCTTCTTTGTGGCTCTCTGCTTTCTCCTCTTTTGCTCTGCTAAACATCTTTGTTTCACGCTGAAAGCAGCAAAACACTTTTAAGACTATGAATTAAACATTTAAAGGAGGGGAAAAAAACATGCCTGTGTATAAATAAATGACTTACCTTGGGTGAATGTCGACCAGGAGGAACAGAGTCTGCATGGTGATAATGTCAATCCTTTTGCAGTGAAACCTCGCCACTTTCAGCACTTTCAAGTATGTGAAACACAATATGAGCAGGGAGAGCATGAAGCTGGTGGCGTGGAAAACCACTGTGAAGATAGTAAACTTAATCCTGTCTCCCCCTTCCACTGTGGGCTGTAAGGTGCAGGACGCGTACACTGAGCTGTAGTCCACCCAGGAGAAGAGCAGGGCCGTGAGGGAGAAGGTGAAGGAGTGCAGCCAGGAGTAGCACACCATGATCAGCGCGTCCTTGTAGCGCATCTTGGCGGAGTAGCTGAGCGGGAACACCACCGCGATCCACCGGTCTATGCTGAGCGCCGCCATGCTCAACATGGTGTTGGCGGTGAGGAAAGTCTCCAGGAAGCTCACCGTGTGGCAAATGAAATCCCCGAAAGGCTGCTGGTCCCGGATGACCCCCACCAGGGTGGCCGGCATGTTGAGCACAGTGATGAGGATGTTGCAGAAGGACAGGTTCATGGTGAAGACCCCCGGCACCTGTCGGCGGATCTCGGTGCTGTGGACGAAGCATAGCAGCACCAACAAGTTGGACAACAGCGAGACCACCGCGACCACGATGATGAACAGAGCGAAGATAACGTCAGCAAAGTCCATGTCTCACTCCGGAAAGTCCCCTCTCGGGTTACCTGTTGTTGGTATTGATAATAAGGAGTTAAAATCAACCATGATCCCTGCAGGAGCTCCTCCAAAGATTATTTTTCAATTAAATCCTCCTGTGTGCGCGCGTCCCTGTCCTCTCCAACTTCCACGAGCGCTATCCAGCGTGCTGAAGCGTGCCTCCATTTCTCTCTTTCTCTCTCCTCAAACTTGTCGATTATTTTTCATCCGGCAGGTGCAGGTGTAGAGCTTAAAGTGAAGAAGAGTGTGGCTCAGATGGAGAATGAGTCTGAGCAAATGAATAATCGCTTTTACGCATCACGTGAAGAAACAGTACTCACACCCATAGACGTGGGAACAACTTGTCCTGGTCACAAAACACCCAAACTCACACTTTTGTTTTCTACATATTGGAGATTTCCAGATTTCTTTGCGCAAACGAATCAATCATCCCACTTAAGTTATTCACATGCGAGTTTCTTCAGCATCGACCACGGATCCCTCGAAATCAATTTAGTTCTGAGGCAAAGGGCGCAGAGAAATCCAGGGATGTTTCTCCTCCTGGATAATTGGAGACGCTTCTGCCGTGACCAAACGGCACCAGGTGCACACGCGCGCCGGAGATGCGCGGGGGCAAATAGATCCTTTTCCTGAAATGAATTATTCATAGCCCCGTGGCTACTGCAGATTCACTGTGTACCATCATAATGTGTGTCTGGTATGCAAAAATATACAAAATGACTGTTACAAGAGAATGCTGCTGGGTAAACTGGGACTGAGGCTCACAGTTGGTTAATAAGCCTGAAATGTAGGGGACATTAAAGACATCAGCAATGATTCTTTAGGGGCAAACATATGTCTTATATTGTATTTTTCTTTGAGTTAAACCCTGCTGATTTGCATACAAATACTTGATTACCCCTGATGAGCAATAATACTGTCTGTATACAACTTTTTTTTACAATTGGTATCCAGTACCAGCTAGCTCTTTGATTCAATATGGTCACTTTTCTGAAAAACAAATATACTGCTACTTTTTTTTTTACCATGGTGTACCTATCTGCTGTCTTGTTTTAGTTTTTTACTTATTGTGTTCATGTGCATACTTAGCCATTTTTTTAACATTTTGTCCTTACTTTACACTATCTGCTGTTGTAATCATGTAAATTACACCGTTGCGGGACAAATAAAGGATTTCTGATTCTGATTATGAACATACAAAATCAAAACAAAATATTCATCAATCAACAAAACCAAAAATTCACAATAGGCGCGTTCACACCGGAGTACTTTTACCCCGTACTTTTCCCGTTTAGTTCCGTTAGTACCCCTGATGTCGCGTTCACACCAAAAAAGCCGCTTTCACACCAAGTACTTTGCCGTACTTAGTGCCCCGGCACTAAGTACCAATCACGTTCACACCGGAATAAGTTCCCTGAGGGAAGATTACCCAAATGAGCCGCTGACGTCACTTCGTCTTCTTCTGCTTTGGGTTTACTGGCAGGCCGCAAACAACTTCACGGCGTAAACTGCCGCCCGAAGTCCCCGGCCGGAAGTCCCCGGAGTTGGGGAGTAAATCGCCAGAACGCCGACACCTCCTCATCACTCCACCGCTCCCATGTTTTTTTTTGTGTTGCCATAAGTTATTCTATCTCCGTTGGTGCGCGGGGCTAATGCTAATGCTAATAATGCTAATGCCAGAAATACAATGGCGGCTTCACAAAACTTTTCAGAGTTTTACGGGGCGTGGTTTGCAATTCGCCCAGCCAATACAAATTGGTACTTTTTTGGTACCACCTCTCTAGCAGGCACTAAAAATGGGGGTAAAGTTCCCGGCACTACAGTAAGTACTCTTTTTGGTGTGAACGCAACATAAGGGGTACTAACGGAACTAAAGGGGAAAAGTACGGGGAAAAGTACTCCGGTGTGAATGCGGCTTTTAGGCACGTTCACACCGGAGTACTTTTACCAGTCCCCAACTCCGGGGACTTCCGGCCGGGGACTTCGGGCGGCAGTATACGCCGTGAAGTTGTTTGCGGCCTGCCAGTAAACCCAAAGCAGAAGAAGACGAAGTGACGTCAGCGGCTCATTTGTGTAATCTTCCCTCAGGGAAAAGTACTCCGGTGTGAACGCGATTGGTACTTAGTGCCCTGGGGTAATAAGTGCCGGGGCACTAAGTGCCGGCACTAAGTACGGCAAAGTACTTGGTGTGAAAGCGGCTATTGCAACACACCCCTACCCCTGCATGGCAAAGAAAAAATAATGCTTTTTTTGGATTATGGAGAGACACATTTCCCATGAACCAGTGTGATGGGAGTAGCTGCATCAGTACTTTCTGACACCCAGTCCGATGTTTAAATAGATCACATTTTCTGGAGATATTGAACAATAGTCGTTTACACAATGTCTTGGAATCAGGCTAATCAGGCATCCTTTATGAGTGTTCAAATAGATAATATCCCTCCTTTATTGTAGATATTCTTTTTTACATTGCCAATCATTTCAATTGTTATCTGTATAACAGTTCACTACCATCCCCCCAAATCTGCCCTTCTTCTTCTTTAGATTTGTCTATGTCCATATACCCGAATGAGAAACCATGTTGGTTTAGAGGAAAGTCTAAAAGAAATAGGATTGAAATAGGATTTTAAAGCCACAACTGTTTGTTTTACTTTATCTCATAATACACTAGGCATAACATTCCTAAATTGGAGGAACATGCTGTAGCCGGTGACAGAAGTGCACTTTAGAAATGTTTGCACTCGTTACTGAGTCATGCCCAATCCTGGAGAAGCCTGCAGACAGTGACTCACTGAGGTCAGACACAGCCTGCAGGCTTTTTGTATATCTTTTCTCCATTTCATTCGCTTTATACTCCCACTTGTTATGAGGCTCCTGGGCTTGTGCCTGAATCACCACCCCCTCCAATTAAGTGCTCTGTTTTTATTTATGTAATGTCATAGGATAAACTTTACTCAGGGCGATGATAGTTGAGTATTTACAGTGATTAAGTGAGCCACAATTAAATGTGCGCTAGGGAAACCCGACCACCTGTGAAGTGACTGCCTCTGAAGAGCATCACAGCACAGCAGCTGATGAAAGTCTTTCATATGTGAAGGTGTGAATGTGCCAGAGTGTGTTTTGGAGTCAGAGAAACAAAGCAGCAGAGGGGGATGTCAGTTGCCTTATAAACAAGCGATCAAATGCCTGGGAGAAAGCTACAGCTGGGTTCCTGGGGGGGGGGAAGTGCAAAGCTATTTATAGGTCTGATGGGGTGTCACCTCCAATATATCTCTCAGTGCCGATGTATTACCTAACCGAGGTATCAGAGCGAGGCACTCTACAGAACCACAAATGAGATTGCTTTTAGAGGATGCTTTTATGTGTGTTGGGTAATCAGCCGCTGCGGTTTTAGGTTTCCTCTCAAATGCCTCAAAGACTGGTCGCAGTTTAACAAATGAATTCAAACACAGCGAGATATCCGGTGAGACAGACAGACTGGCCAACTCCACGTTTTGGACTCTACATCATACGATACACTAAAGCTAGTTTATAGGGTGACTAAAAAGGAGGAAGACACTGATCTCCAGCTCTTTGCTTCAGAAAAAGAAACTCAATTATGAGTCCAAGCACAGATGGGAAGTAAGGAATGGATCCTTAGGAGATAAGATGAGCTGGACATGTGCAATATTGGTGAAATTAATAATAAATGGCCTAGATGTGACCGCACATGGCCAAAGCCAAATTACAGACCAACAGTCCATCACACGAGAATTTGGATGTCCATATATTTCAGAAGATGGAACCAGCTAATGTTGACCATTTGTGCTTGATTATAACTTAAATTATTTAACCGAATACACATAACAGCTCCGCTGTTGCTTAACATCCGTTAAAGTGTTGTCCAACGTGCCAATAGTGCTGAAAATATAAGTAAAGAAGACAGAAGCCCGTATTACTTTGAGCTAATTGCTTAGGTTCCTCACGTCGTGTCTGGATTGTAAGAATTGTTTGTTTTAAACTCTTGAGAGATGGCAGTGGTTTTGCATTGACCTGGAATGGTTAGGGTAAGGTCAAAAGTGTTTTCAAAGTTTTACAAATAGACCATTTTACTTAAATTTAAGTGGCCATGCACACTGTCTAAAATGTGAGTTGAGTGTCCTATGATCCCCTGACTGCAAACCACTGTCTTGGTCCATGAACATTTCTTTAAATAAATGTGCAAGTTACCAAAGAAATATGCAAAACTTTCCTGGCACCAACTTCTCAAATGTGAGGCGTGTGTGTGCACAGATTATTGGCACAGCAATTGTGTCGAAACCACAAAAGACGCAGTTTCAAAACTTTAAAGATGTGTTGTTTTGATCAAAATGGAGGTTGAATATGGAAGTGGTTAGATGTAGGATATATAGGAAGGGAAGGGTCCATGGTCCCACCACTTTACCCCCCTGTAGTAGAAGTTATGATGTACACCTGCAGACCAATAAAAGGAACTTTATTGACAGTAAATAAAGTTACTCGATAATGAAAGTAAATATTAGTTGCAGACCTAACAGGCTTACATTGTTGGATTCGATGTCATCATGAAAAGGGCAGAGGGCACAAATGGAGCATCAAAAGGAATGTTTTGCACGACGGAACAGTGCACACTGAGAGAAAGTAGATCTTTGTGGCCGGCTCACAACCTCAGCCTTGTAACAAAGAATGCTCTGAAAGCTCACAACTGTCCGTTCCAACCCGTGATCTAAGGAAACAGAGTGTGACCTTCATACAACACAACATCCCTTAGGCAGCAAGACAAGTGACAGAGAAAGTGTGATCTCAGCACAGTAATGAAATCCCCCCCGCAGGTACCTGGAGTGTCACTGGGAGCTTGTACCTGTCTTGTATAGTAGTGAGTAACATGATGCCTCTGGACAGCGTTACGTAACAAACAAGCAGTGCATGGATCCTTTGATCATGTCTTATTCAAATACTAAATATACAAACTACATATT